CTGGACTGTGACTGATTTGCCATCCAGAAAGGTTCCTATAGGATGCAAATGGGTTTATAAAGTGAAGTTCAATGCTGATGGAACAGTTGAGAGGCATAAAGTGAGGCTGGTGGCAAAAGGATACACCTAGCTGGAAGGAATAGACTATCAAGAGACATTTTCACTTGTGGCAAAGCTGGTGATAGTAAGAACATTGCTCGCAGTAGCAGTAGTAGCGGGTTGGTATTTACACCAATTCGATGTGAACAATGCATTTTTGCATGGAGACTTGGACGAAGAAGTTTATATGCAAGTTCCTCCTGGTTATTCTGTCAATGGAACTTCAAAGGTTCGCAAGCTCAACAAAAGTTTATATTGTTTGAAGCAAACATCTAGACAGTGGTATTCAAAGTTGTCCATTTTTATCATTGGTCAAGGCTTTCATCAATCCAAGGCTGATTACAGTTTGTTCACAAGAAAGAAGGGTAATTCCTTTACGGCCATATTAGTTTATGTCGATGATATAATAATAGCAGGAGACAATGTGGAAGTTATAAATTCTCTTAAAATTCACTTGATGATAACTTTAAGATCAAAGCTTTGGGAGACTTAAAATATTTCCTTGGCATAGAGGTTGCTCGATCAGCGAAGGGAATTCAAATTTGTCAAAAGAAATATGCTTTGGATATTTTGGCTCATTCAGGTACCATTGGAGTAACACCAACCAAAATTCCACTTAACCAAAGCACCAAGCTGTCCAAAGATGAGGAAAAGGTTCTGCCTGATCCTACTCTGTTCAAAAGACTAGTGGGAAGACTATTTTACTTAACAATTAGCAGGCCAGATTCAGTACACCTGCTGAGTCAGTACATGCAAACACCTAGAATGATGCTCATAAGGTACTTAGATACATCAAGAGATCGCCAGGCCAAGGGTTATTGTTTTCCTCACCCTCTAATTTGCAACTTAAGGCTTATAGTGATTCAGATTTCGGGGCATGTCCAAATTCTCGAAGATCAATCATGGGTTATTGTGTGTTTATTGGGTCTTTCTTAGTTTTCTAGATATCCAAGAAACAAAATACTGTGTCTAGATCCGGCAGAAGCAGAGTACAGGGCTATGGCGGCTGTTTGTTGTGAGCTAACATGGCTAAGATATGTTCTTGATGATTTGCAGGTTCCACACTCACAACCGGCTGAACTATTTTGTGATAATCAGGCAGCGTTACACATAGCAGCTAACCTAGTATTCCATGAAAGAACAAAACACAATGAGTTGGACTGCCTCCTTGTGCGTGACAAAATACGAGAAGAAAGAGTAATTACGAAGCATGTTAGGACAGGTTCACAGATTGCTGATATACTTACCAAGCCATTATGTTCTGACATTGTTTATTCTCATTTATCCAAGATGGGAGTGGAGAACATCTACTCTCCACCTTAAGGGAGGCTATTAAAGATCAAAGGAGGTCACATATCAGGAAGGTGCTAGAAGCATACAAAATGAAGGTGCTGCTGCACATGCTTGATGCATTAGAATAGATTCCATTTTTTTTGTTATTTTGATAGTATGTAATTAGTGAGCAGGAGATTTTGTTTGGCACTAGTAATTAGTTAAAATAACTTGTATATATATACGTCATTCTTCCTTCCCTATCTTTCGGCTGGATATTTGGCTGTTTTAAATACATTCAAACACTAAAATCTTTATACGTATACAAAATGATATATTGGTGGCAGTTAAGAAATACTGAAGCTAAAACCTTTCTTTTCCAACAAAAACTAAGCAAAATTCGATGGCGGGCGTACTGGCGATCGACTATCAGAGACCGGCCATAGGTAATTAATTTTTCTCTTCTTTTTAATTTTCTCAATATAAATTTATCATTAATCGTCCAGTTTCAAAATCAAAGGTCACATGAATGAANTAATTTTTCTCTTCTTTTTAATTTTCTCAATATAAATTTATCATTAATCGTCCAGTTTCAAAATCAAAGGTCACATGAATGAATTATATATTGTACTTCCAAATTGTTTGTCTCATTGTCTGGGGATGGAAGCGTCCGAGTATTCGTGGATATCTTTAACAGCTATAGCTGTTTTGAATTTTACATTCTATTGCAAAGTTAGAAAATGTATAACTTTTTAAAAAAAAAACGTAAAAAAATTTCATACTTAGAAATGATGAATTTTCCATCGTTACAGATTAGTTATTTAGTTAGCACGAGATGTCTGATAACAAAGGCCGCCTTTCGGGTCTGTATGCCTAAAGGACTATCTTGAACACGAAGCTATCTGAGGAAACTCCTGTCAGGGAGCACATGATCAGGGGCGGACCCACATGGGGTCATGTGGGTCAAATGACCCTACCAAATTTTGCCTCATTTTTTTTCTCCTTTTTAAATCCTTTACGATCTACTTTGATACACTCGTTAAGGGATGCCAAATGAAGTCAAAATATTACATTCTTAATACCACTTTGAAGCTCATAACCTAATTTTTTACTAATTAATGGCATACGAAGTGGTCAACTATAGAAAAAGTTACGATGTGTCAAAGTAGACCATTTGAAACTAGTATTTTGTGAATTTCGATAATATCCTAACTTGTAAAATTTGTCGACAATCATGTGCTATCCGAATCCACAAATCGTCTATGTCAGATAGAAACTCGTTTCGAAAACTATATCATTGTCATGTCGTCTAGGTCCGCCCCTGTACATGATTAAAATGATAGTGCTCTTCAGCAAGTTGGAGACCTTAGGGACTAAGATTGATGCAAATTTCCAGATCGATATGGTTCTTGAGACACTACCATATTCTTTTAATCCATTCAAAATTAGTTATTGTTGACCTCAAAAAATGAGTCAACAGAATTCCGACCTCGTCCCCTCATCACCTACACACAAAGCACCTCGTTAGGAGGCAAAGGTTGTCGGTCGATAAAAAGGTCCGACAACCGTTTGCACTCCGACGATCAAATCAATGGTCAGATGGAAAGAAAATAAAAAGTGCAAGAGACGGGCTCGTTAATGGGCCTCGTCCAAGTCCAATAGTGAAACCCAATATGCAATAATTTATATGTATAACAATTGTCCCTCAAGTTTGAATCGTATTATTTATATGCGGGCCAAACTTCAAATTATAAGCTGTCAAATAGACGATGCCACGTCAGCCAATGTGGGACCCCCTCCATCATGCGTATGCCACGTAATTTTTGGATATAACGGTTATCTTATGAAAAGAGGGCTATGTCCCTTCCATTACTGATGAATGAGTTTCATATGGCAGAAGCGGTACTCAAACCTGCTATGAGTTTTCAAGGGCAATCTCGGGGTAGCATCGGAAAGAAGAATGGGAAGCTGAGAGGGAAATGTTTCCATTGTGGTGAGAAAGGACGTCGGAAGAGGAACTGTGTGGGATGGTGGCTAAATAGAACAAGGTATGTCTTACACTACTGTATGTCTGTACCATATTTAGTGGTAGCCAAGTATATAGACTCGTCATTGATTCACATATGTAATTTGTCACAGGGGTTCTAGGAGATCAGAGAACTCAATGTAGGGGACAACTAACTGACTTTAGCTTTTAGTTCAAGAATTCAGGGATTTGCTGTATTTAGGTAGAATTTTAATGACAGTAGGACTTTAGAGATTGCCTTTATCAAGTGTAGAAGAAATTTATTTCAGTTTCTGCATTGAATAAAGATGGATTCTTGGTAGTGGATGGTGTATTGCCTCATAATTTAAACGCAATTCCTGTGGAGTCATTTGATGTGCTTGATTTGAGAAGAATGAATTTAAGATTGTATCCTTCCGAAAAAATACAGAGTACTTGTGAGATTTGTTTAAGACATCTCTTTTAGATCATACTAATTTTGATAGGATCCCAAAACTGGTTAAGGATGGATGTTTAAATTTATTAGATGTTGTTGTTGAGCTGTGAAACTTGTTCACAAAATAAGATGGGAAAAGTCCCAGTAAGGTTAAAAATGTAGAAATAATGAAACTCTAGAATTTGTACATGTGGACGTGTGTGTACCGTTTAATTTTCAAGCACGATGTGAGTACGGATGTTTTATCACTTTCTTTGATGATTACTCTTCATATGGGTTTACAAACTTGTTGCACAGAAAGTCTTGTACCTTTGATACATTTAAGGGATGTAAAACGAAGAAAGAATTGAACTGGAAAATGCATCAAGGCTCTTCAATCAGATTGGAGTGGAGAAAACCCGTCATGAATGTTTGTTTCTTCCCTTAAGGAGACTTGAATTATATTCCAATCGAGTTCTCTTATAACTCCGGAACAAAATAGAGTAGCCTAAGAAGAATTCAGATATTGATGGATATGGTGAGATTAATGATGATTTTCCGACCTCTTCCTTAGGTTTATGCCTTAGAGACTGTAGTTTATCTTCTGTATTTGGTTTCTTATGCTGTGCCAAACATATGCACCAAGTTGTAGATAGGTTAAGACTGACTTTGCGACATGTTTGTATTTGGGATGTGCAACCCATATTAAGAAGAATGTGAATAAATTGGAAATCTTGTTTGGTGAGGGGTGAAATTCTAATTTTGATACGAAAGCTCGAGTTTGGAATTATCCCAAATGCCAAATTTTCCTATCATTTGCTATTACATGTAAACCATAAGTTGTACAAAATAACAGCGCACATGCAAAAAAATGTCAATATTGACATATCTTTTATGGTGAACCTGAAAATACTAACCGTATAAAAAGAAAAAAGAAAAAATGCAAAATGTAATTTATTATCTATGACTACCAGACAAAAGTTACTAGCCCCATACAACTGTATCAGTTGTCAACGTTCACAGAATCTCACGGCTGATTCTTCAATAAAACTATATAATTTCAAATGCCAAATATATTAGAACTGAAGGGTTTTTTTTTTTCTTTTAACAGCAGACAGTATTTACTTTCATTTCTTCGATATACCATACTTCGAATTCTAATTCAATGAAGAAAAATTAGGAAACCAAAATTTAACTGACAATAAAAAGTAGGAAAAGATGAAAGGTATTGTAAGGTATTATTTGCAAGTTGCAACTTTTACACAAGGTCAATCATACAGTGCTGCAGCAAGTCCCGGGAGTTCGTCCCAAAATTAGAATGTAACATAAGTTGGTCAAATGGAGGAGAAAATTAAGCATGAAACCTTTTCTCAAAAATTTTACAGAAAGGCCACAGTTGTCCAGGCATTAAAAGACAAGCCAACTTGGGGGCTCTCAATCCTATGTAACGAGAGGGGATGTTACAACAGAAGCTACGTGGAAAGTGGATATGAAGGGGGGTCGAATGCAGGTCTTCAATCAGCCAAAGAATCAATATGAAGATACCACACCACTCAAATAGATGATGTATAATTGGGGAAAATAAGCATCAACTTATCTAAAGTTTGGGGTAGAAATTTCCTCGCAAACAAGTAACATGGTCGTTGCCTTCCATTCCACAAGCATGGCTTAATCTGAATTTCCTTCTGAAGAACAAAGAAATAAATTCACTTCAGAATACTGAGATTACACCAACTTCTACTAAATATAGTTTTCCGAAAACATACTAACCATTTCATCACTTGTAACATGCAAATTAGCTGTAATAGACTGCAAAAACACAGTTCAGCATCATTAGCCACCTCAAAATTATATTAGATACAGAACCTACAGATATGCTCTGTGCAATTTTATATTTTGAAGCCATACAATCGGATGTGCATGACTCATTAGAAGCACAAATATAAGGATGGATTCAATGCAATTGAGAGAAGTTCAGAAAGAGGAGAGGCGTACTATAATATTGCTCATCAGCTCATAGGTAACATCCTGCGCTCGATATGATCTGGGATGCCATTTCCCTTCTGACCAATCAACATGTGTTACCGACCAATTTGCAATTCCAGCTGGATCGAGCATCTGAAAAGGTGGGGGAAATCTATTCCCTTTAAAATTATCCAAAAGGGTGGAAGATGTCTTAAATTCCAAAAAGAAGATGTATAATATCCTCACATGGAAAAAAGTGGGCAAATAGTGCTCATCAGAATAGCAATTGCGTCCATTCTCCATGCCTGGCTGTTTAGTCCAAATACAGATGTCACCAATGGTTCGATGAAATAAGGAACTTAAAATTTCAATCAAGTTTCAAGATTACTAGCAAAGAACTTTGAACCACTAAAGGGGTAACTCGAGAATCAGAGATTGAAATTTTGGAGAATCGATTTCTTGTGAAAGCTTGTATAGGAAATAATAGAAGCCAGCTATAAGCATGTATTGTTTGGGGTACAATCCAAAGGAACGATCATGATATCTAACAAGATATTTAGATCAATTTCTCCTTTTGCAACTGAACCCAAGTGTGCACTGTTGCAACTTGCATAAAATAGGAGAGGTATGAAGGAAAAGAGGTATAAAGGGCTTGACCTTTGTAAATTAATACATCTCAATGTTCATATGCAAAGCATGATTTGTTAATTAGAATATTGAAAGAAAGATACAAATTCAAATAACTATAGAAAGGAAATGTAAGGGTCTATGTGATGTAGTCGTAGGCTTCTTCATGAATAAACAAATAACGATATAAATGGAAAAAAGAATTATAAGCTTGCGAAGTTATCTTCAGCTCCCTCTAGCCTTATTCTTCCCCTCGGACCAGATTGATAACTACCTGTCTCTAAGCTATCATTATAAATTCAGTCCCAGTAATATTTAGAATACCTGATTATCCTTAAGCCCACCGTGTTAAAAAACGTGTAATCTATCAGTGCCTACGGAGCATTGAGTTGAGAACTCAATTGTGGATTTGATGTTCAAATAAAACTACAAACGCATTATAGCTTTTTTGGCACGTGACGAAATAATAGATTTAGCCCTTGTTTGGTGCTGGTTAAAATCTGGTTAAAAATCTAAATCAAAGTTAATAATTAATTTGAATCACACATTTCATGGGATCCAGAACTTTCCAACCACACATTTATCTACTTTTATCAAAATCTACTAAAAATCTGATTTTTAAATACACCAAACATGCGCTTGCTTAAAAGCACAATAAATCTGAGGCATAAACTCTGGTACACTTAGCCACTTCATGCATGAAAGACAATCAAACAGGCCTACAATAAACAAAAATAGGAGGAAATGCACTTTAAAAAATAACAACATTAAAGTATCAATATAATAAAGAAACTTACCGACTGAAAAGAACTAAGAAATATTTATTCAACAAATTATGTTCACCTTGCAATAATCCCTGAATTTCGTATAGTACAGATTATCAGCCATAATTATAATAGCATGCTGCCGCTTCATAGTGAACCACTGCAATATTCAAAGTTATTTCCTATCATAAAGAAATTCAAATTGAATGCAATCAAAATGTAAATCCCCACCGACGATTACAAGCCAAGTACAACAAACAAGTAAACATGGCTCTATCAGCTCCTAATCATGGAGGATAGAATAGACAATGATTGATTTTCTTCTCCAGAAAAGGTTAGAAATTTGTCATGCTTATATACCAGTTGGAAACTGGTAAAACAAGATTTTTCCAGATTTTTCCTTTTTTATTTGATTTAAGGTAAATTCGGTAATGCAAACTATTTACGTCAAGAATAAGTCCAGTAATTAACAACATAGCTGTTAACTACTTAGTATGCATTTTCTCATTTTCAGAAGCTTGACAGCCAATCTATAACTTTTTACTACAGATTCAGTGGACTCTTAACAAAATATGAAATCATACCTGGGAACCCTTTCGAAAGTCTTTCTTCTCAACTTCAGGTAACATGTGTTCAGAATACCTGCCACTTCCATGCGGACCAGGATCTTCAAAGCTGCAAAACCAAGTGGAATTAAAATGGCCAAAATCCTGATTAAATACAAATAGTACAGCTCTCAAACTTTTAACCGTTTTAAGAGCTTAGAGTGTGTTTGGAACGGCTTTTCCAAAGCCTGAAAGCACTTCCGGAGGTCAAAAGCTCTTTTTGGTAAAAATATTGGCCGTTTGGCTAAAGTCAAAAAGAATTTTTTGACCAAAAAACAGCTTTTTTGACCAAATTCGGAGCTTTTTGAAACTGTAATTTACATTTAATGAAGCCATTTAAAGTTAACAATATATATGTTAATATATCAAAGAAAAAACTTTCTAACTCCTAACCTAGTTATATAAATAAAAAGATTATACAAAAGCACTTTTATGGTTATACTGCCAAACAATCAAATTAATATTCAAAGCACTTTTTGGATTCACAACCTAACAGTCAAAAGCTATTTAATAAAAGCTCTACAGCTGCACCAAACAGACCTTAATCATATACACCGGCACTGCCGTACATATCTTGTTCCCATCTGTCTTCATGTTCCCATATGTAAGAGTGATTTTATTTAGTAGTTAATTTTTTTTTTCTTTTTTTCTTCTTTCTTTTTTTTATTTATTTTTTATTTTTTATTTTTTTGGTTATTTCTTAAAGTACGAAGTTTGGAAACACATTCTTTTATAGTCAAGTTCATATTAAAATTTTAAGAATAAGGTTCATTAATATTTATCTATATAGTAACCCACTGATGAGTGATAAAATAAATTCACTTGCAGAAAATCTTGAATACGACACAAAGAAATAATGACAATCCAAAACAGAGGGCTTACCAGTCTACAAAGCTTGTATTTGCATACATGAGATAGTTGTACACATAGTCAAAATCATGCAGTGGTATGCAACTGCAGTTCAGGAAACTTGCATAGTCAAAAAGGGGCCAGTTGCATGAGTTTTAGGGTGGGGGAAGGAACTCAACAATGACAATATCACCTATCCACCTGTCAGAAAGTAGAACAAAATGCTGGTTGTCAGGATCTTTGAGTGCATTTGCTAAAAGCCGTTTTTCGGCATCAACCATTGAAATTTTTCCCCATCCTACCTGCAAATAGATCAATAATAAAGAATTCCAGCTAATAACTATTATAGGTATACCAACAATGGCAGCAGTTTCCATCTTAGACGAATGAGATACAAATAGATCAGTAATAAAACCATGACAAACTTAATGGAGCATGCACCTACAGGAATCTATAAAATCGAATTCCTTATCATTTTCCTTAGTGTGAGTTTTATTTTTTTATTTATTATTATTTTTTTTTCGGTTACAGATACTTGTACAGATTTCTTACAATATAATTTAGCTGCGTAAAAAATGAAGCCCCTATATGGTAGAGATTTTTTGAGAAAAGGATTTTTGAAAAGTGATTTTTGTGAAGAATGTATGGTTAAAAGTATGGAAAGTTGAAGGGTCAATGTGTAAAGTTGCTTTATAGTAAAAATGTTTGGTCGAAAATGGGTTTTAAAAATGGGGACCAAATAGGGGCTAAAGTTATGAAAGAATCATTGGTACTGTATACAAATTAAGAGGCTATTTGAGAGTGATTTTGAGAATTGATTTTTTGACCGTTAGAAGAAAAGTGGGGTTCACCCGTGAGAAACGAAATCAAATATGACGGCTGGAATAGTGAAATAATGGTCAAAAAATCAATTTTTTGAAGGAAAAAATCGGGCCCAAACAAGCCCTAAATTTAACAGGAATAGCACAGAGCCAGAGAACCATTTAAGTCTCACATAAGCACACACCCACGCGCATGTAGGGGAAAAAAATAATAATATAACAAACAATAAATAAAAACAGTGACCAGGTTTGGAAATTTTTCCTGCACATAATCTCATGCAAGTTATTCCGAAAGTTATTCCGATGAACCACTTCATTCATCAATGACAACGTCATGTAATAATTTCAAAAATAAGAAAAAGCGAACAATTTCCCATAGGCTTTGACATAATTCATAAAATTCATCCGCAATGTTAAAATGAAATTTGAACTTCGGCATAACAATAAGAAAGGCAACAAATATGAGGTCATCATACAAATGAATGGCAGTAGCAGATTGATCTTGGCCAATTATTTTTGAAGGCCCTCCCCACCTCAAAGGCTTGGAAGCATATTGAATGAGGATGTAACAAAAAAATTGTCCTAAATTTAGATCTTTGGCCCTTCATTAAGCAACGAAACGGCTATATAGGGAAAGAACTCTAAGCTTGAGTATATAGTATAAAGTATAAACTCTTATTTTGCAAATAAGCAATTAAATAAATTAAAGTTACAGATCGAATGTAGCATATTACAAACTGAACTTCCATAATATCCTCATAAACCTAGGTAAATTAAATAAACAAAATAAAGTCTAGCAAAGATATACAAACCTTGTCACTACGAATTTCCCGATTAATAAAGTACTCGCTAAAATGTACTGGTTTATCCTTGGATGCATGCACGTAGACAGAGAACCTGCCTTCATGGCCCTACAGAATTAAGGGAACAAATTGTTTAAATCCGAAGTAAAAAAATGTCAAACCATTTCGAAATTATAAACTATGAAAAGAAACATAAAAACATTTGCATAATGCATAAGAGTATGAATTCAATAACACCCTTCCCTGTAATGGAGGATCAACCCAATTCTTCTTCTTTTTCCATTTTCATTTGGCTAAGAATGTCATGGAATCATCTTTGCAGGTCAAGGGTTATTTTACATTTACTTGAGCCTCCTTATTCACTTTTAAGAGCAAAAATTCTGAGACCATATTTTGATGGCTTTTTAATGTCTATAAAAATTGTTAATAACCATTCTTGCACCCCAAGGACTACATTATGTGATTCGGTTGATTGCTTGTCATGCTAATTTCCCTTGCCACCACCTCAATACCTCTCCTTCAAATTTTCACAATCTTACTTGTCACAAAAAAATAATAATAAAATCTGGGTCAATGTTCCAAATCAAGTTCTTATCAAGTTTCAAACGAAGAAATTAGACCAACATATCCAACAACTGTAAAAATAATCAAGAAACCGGGGGAAACTTAGCAGCATATCATGCTACAACGACCACAAGAAGGATATGGTGTTTTGCTGATAAAAAACAACTCATATCGTAGTTGGCTGATAGAAAGTATTACTGTCTATTTGTCAACTGTACTCAAGCTGGAGATTCTAAAAATCCAAAAGAATTCCATGCCTTGGTCTTTCATGTTCTTTTTGTCAGGGACGCCAATCATGATTGAAAATACAGTACTATCATCAACTAATTGAAAAGCCTGATGGGGTGCATGTGCGACAAACAGTTCTATTTTAACAATATTTATACAGATAACTCTCTTTTGAAATTTTATGTTCTCCAGGCTCGAAGTACAGTAAGAGTTACTAGTGTTGCAGAAAGGTATGCATTAGCAGATAGAGTGAATCATTAAGTCAGTGAACACTTATAATTTCAAACATCTGGAAGGAAATTAGAATATTGACAATCAAAAGACTGACCATGAACTCCAAATTCAAATTTTAAATGTGCATCAACTCGCAATTCAATCTTCTTGTTTTTAGATGCTCTTGTATATGGTGTAGTGTATCTCGTTTTCCTCTTTATAGTCAACCTTGCAAATTTACCTCATGCCTGTTTGGTGATTTTATATAGTTTTAGACAAGTAATACTCATATCCACAGGAATGAAACAACAATATAATTCGGTGATGTACCCCTGCTCATTGTATTTAATAAATACAATATGGTTCAAAGATGAGGACTCAATGGTCAATATGGTAAATAAGTTCACAAATGCATTACTCATAACCTACCATAGTTTAGTTTATACACTACCTAATGAATTGATGAACAAAAATTTTTTATTTTGATAGTTTTCAAACTCTGACTATGCCCATCACATTTTATTAATTGCCTCCATATTTCATGGCCTTTATTCTTACGTGCTTATAATTTCAATATGTATTAGATATCGAGAATAGACTAGGTACAAAATACAACTGTTTCTCTTTTACAGTTTGCAAAAGCTCAAAACACATGTTACCTTTGTGGATCACACCACTTACATAATCCTCCAAGCAAAGAATTTTAGTGACCACCCCCTTTGCATAAATTTGACCAAGTGGAAATATACACGGCCAAACAATGAAGATAACTTAATCCCTCTATTCACAAGCTACAATGTCCCAAAATATAATTTGACTCCATGCCAGTATATCAAGCAGATAATTCATAAACTAGACATTATATAAAATAATCCCTCTATTCATTAGCCACGATGTCTGAACTACAATTTAACTACAGTCCATATCCAATATATATCCATCCAGTAGATAATTCCTTGCAGAGGCACAGATTCGGCAACTTATGGAGCATCTAGTTCTAACAGAACTTGCAGCTATGTCATGCTGCCTGAAGTATTCAATTATTGAATGGGACATTTAGTCTACAAAAATGATTTCTCTCTCCTCATTGAAAAATAAAACTCCCCTTTTCTTTTCTGTCTATCAATATTCCTATGTATTCTAAAAGGCACTTGAAAACACAATTATGACAGTTCAGTGAACACTAGTGTTGGCTCCATAGTTCTTTTAAATGCTTATAACTTGTGGTTCCTTGAGAATGTGTAGATAATAAATGTAGTAAGTTGTGGATTCTAGAAAATGTGTGAATTAAAAGCATATTTAACGAGCTTTTAAAAATATTAAGCTTCGCCAAACATGCACTAAATGTAACCCGTATATAGATACTTGGTCCATCGGCAAGATGAATATAGTTTTACTGACTCCATTGATAGAGTGCACGCATATCCATACAAGAGAATTGCCATAGTTTCCCCTTAAGGATATCTCCTATTGCAAGCTGACCAGGATATAAAATACTTCCACCTGATTGAACATCTAAAGATTACTCCTCAAAGACACTATTTACAAATGGTATTATATCCGGTTATAAAAGCAGCATGCTATTAAGATACATTAAAGAAAAAAATCTTTAGAAGTTAGGAGATTTTAAAGGTAAAGAAAAATATTACCTGAAAAAATTTATCCCACAGCATCTCAAAAGGTAATGCACCAGGTGTCATAAAAAGGAATGCAATCTTAGAATTTATTGATACAATAGGAGCTGTCTTCAGAATATCTCTAATTACAACGCGTGAAGCAATCTCATCATCAGTCAATTCGCTTGCCGGTGCAGGTGGAAGCCAATTAGATATAGTTTCACAACCATTAGATGAGAGTACATAGCACGCATCAAAATTCTGAGGCGGATAAATATAAGCCAAAACTAAGAAGATACAGACTAAAGGGACCAATATTATTATCCATGTTGGCTTCTTTAAATGACCACGGTGGCGAGATGCATGCATCATTTGCATGTCTTTCATGCCTAGACGCCACGCCTGAGTCGCCTTCATCTAGGAATGGTGCATTAGAGGTTAATACCCAAAAAAGGCCAAAGCCATCCTCTCAAGTCCAAAATTCACTTTATTTATCTAAACCTATCAGCCTCAAGCAGAACCTCAAACACTGGACTCAGCAAGAATCTGAACCTGCAGAGCACATATATATGTACCTGAGATCCTAGCTGCATTAGAATCATGTAATAATGTTAGATGCATCTTTGGGGAGTATCCTTAGACAAATGATGTTGAAGATAATTCCAAAATAGAAGCATAAGAAACGGAAATAGCCAATAACAATATTGAATGTTATGATGATTAATTTTGATGGAACCAATTTCAATAGCTTAGTTGCATACTGCCATAGATATAGTAAAAAGTGGCTAAAACATTTATATCCAAATTTCGGTGCAAGGGATGCAAATTCCCACATCTAAACAGTACGAAAGAAGTAAATCAAACCAACATGAAGTAAATCAAACAAACATAAATCGCATGATAATTCGAATTTTACACAGAACCATCAATGCATGTATAATTCAATCCAGCTAACTACTTGACCAAAATTTCAAATTATCATAATCAAAATCAACGAAGCATTGAAAGAGAGGGAAAAAAGGAAACAGGAACTGAACTTTAGATCCAAAGTAAAAAAGACATTAAAAGAGACAACTAATCAAAGAAAAATCAAGAGGAAACTAAATCAGAGATTATGATAATAAACAGAACCTTGGCAGAATTAAATTGCTAAACTACAAACAGACGCGCCCCCAATAAATTCATGTAAAAATAGTTAGAATACAATACAAAAGTTTCAAGAAAAAGTTTAAACGGAACGTGCCTATTTAAATTAAATCCACCAATAGCCAACATCTTCAACGATTAAAGTTCTAATCATCGCAATCGCGCATGCATACGTTATACTTCACTTCCGTTGACATAAATACGGACACCCAAACCCCCGTTACCCACACACACATTAATAAATGAACAGCATTTAACTCCGAAACATAATTCAGAATCAATTAAGTTCACATTTCATCAACGCCCAAACACACTCATTTCTCTTTCTGATTAACGAAAAATTAACCAGTACCTGATTTTAAACAACACTAAAGAGCTGAAGAAAGAGATAAAGAAGTTGAATCTAAAATCAAAAGGATCCGTATACATGCATCTATACGTCTATACATACAAATGTATTATATATTTAAAATCTGTGAGATCTAGGGCACGACAAGGCAAAATGCAAGGCCAATATATTTATAATTTATTTGAATTGCCAGAATACAGATTGAATATATATAATAACATATGTAAGTATAGATGTATTTGGAAGTTCCAGTGCGTGTTTAGAACGTTACTCTGCTCAGTCCAAGTCCACCATCATTTCGGCCGGCGACTTTCAAACTTTAATGGACTCGCAGGCACGAGCGCGTGGAGAAGAAGAGACGACTAGGTGGGGTGTTGGCATGTTTAAGGTTTGAGCCCATTCTTGTAAAAAAATGCATTTTTAAGTAATATATTGATAAGAAATTTATGGTTAAAAAATAAAGAAATATTTTGAATTTATATGTAATATTATTTTATTAAAGCATGTGTGGTTGAAGCGGACTCAAATCACTGTTGAAATATAAATTTTAATGAAAAAATGGGGCTCAAACAAGGGCTAATTTTCTTCTTTACACGAGTTTTTTTTCTTTTTCTCATTATTTTCTTCTTCTTTTTTGTGGCAATTTGCCTCAATTATTGCGTTATTTGCGCGATGTTTTTCTCTAACCAACAAGAAAAATGGGACAAAAAACAATTGCCTTAGGCACAGTTTGATACAAAGGATCTCTATGGAAATCTTTTTCCATTTTTCCACTTTTTTGGGTGTTTGATACGCCATTTTTCTTGACAATTGAATTCCATGAACGGTGTCCACACAGACACATTTTCCAGCTTTTGAGGGAAAATGAATTCCCATGAGGTGGTGATTTTTCAGATTCTAACAATTTTTTTCCTTTTTTTTATTTATTTTGTTTTTGTAGGCAATAGAAACAAATTTTAATAATTATTGTAAAAAAAAATATTTTTCTTTAATTGACAATTTTCATGTAAAATAAAATCAAACGAACACCAAAAAATATTTTTATTTCAACATTTTTCACGTGAAAAATTATACTAATCAAACACAATAATTTACAATTCCCAATAAAACAATTTTTAGACAATTCAATTCTCTAAAATTCGTTTTCTTTCGACCCAAATTTCATTTTTGCAATCAAACGTACCCTTACTTCTTTTGTGAGCTAAAAGTAAAACTGAATTTTTCTGTTTAAGAAAAATGACATTTTTAGAGGCTTTCTATGGATTTTTGAGACATTAAAAATAGCTTTTTGAATTCGAAAGTGGCTTAGATTATTTAGCTAATTTTGTAAAAATATTATTTTTAACTAAAAATTCTTTTAGATGAAGTTGATCCATATTACTTTTTTAAAAGCGGAAGTTCTTTCATAGACTACTAGAATTAAAAGTAAAAATCTAGCAAATGGGACCTTACTAATTCAATAAAAGCCATAACATTGATAGCATGTTTGGTACAGCTTAAAATCTAATTAAAATCAATTATCTGACTGTTTATTTCACTATTACAGTCGTCGTTTTTTGAATTCTTCTCTCACGGGTAAGACCCACTTTATCTCTAATGGTCAAAAAATCAATTAACAAAATCCCTACTAAACAAGCACCGATTTTCCCTGTCAACGTTTTTGAATTAATTAATCAATTGTATACATGAGGTTCGGGAATATGGACTATAGTTGCCTATTTATTTTTCAATTAAGCCAAGTTGTTAAAAAAGATTTGACATCTCGAATGACCTATTCTCACATATGCGTGAGACCCACGTGGGATCCGTCCTATTGTGAGTGTATGTCAACTAGGTTATCAAAATTTTCTAGCACCCTAACTTGATCGTTTATTTTTTCCCCTTAAAACTCAAAGATGATGAAGGCATTTTTGGCTAAGCTTAGTGCTTGTTTGTGATTGAAAATGAGTACTGTAGAAAAAATAATGTGAAAGAAAAGAAGACAAACAAAGCCTTAAAATTCAAACTTATCAATGTGTAAATTGTGCTAAAAAAAATTAATAAAAATAAAAATATCAAAAGTTATTTAGTATCGATATCAATATTGATTTATGATTTACTTTAAAAATAAATTACTTATTTATGATCTTAAAAAAATTTATTTATTTTAAACATTAGTAAATTACGTCTAAATAAATTCAATTATTCGTAAATATTTTAAGATCAACAAAACTAACTAAAAATCCACTCCATCAATCTATAGTGTATTAGTATTCAATCTACCTTTCCAATTATGTAGATATGTAGAGGATGTTTGGCATGGATTAAAATTAAATCTTTTAGTATATTCTGTCTCGTTTGGCTTCCATTCTCTTTTATTTTTTTCTCACTTATTTTTAACTACACAATCTTTTATAAAATAATATTATACGTGAATCCAAAACTTTTCATTCTTTTTCAACTATACATTCTTCAAAAAATATTATTTCAACTATTAAATTTTGAAAAAAAAAATGAGGGCCAAACGAGAGCTGTATAGAAGTTTTTAAAATGTGTAGTTAAAAAGTTGTGCGATCCATAATAATATGGTTAATATTGATTATTTGATTTTGATTTAAATTAAACAAGCTAATAACAGCGTAGGTATTCGGAGTAACTAATTTACCTATACACAAGAATTTTAAAATCCTAAAGGTTAGGTGTAGCTTATGCTGGTTCGATTTTTAAAATCCAACCGTGAATTTTTGTTCTTTAACATGTATATATGCAAAAACATTTCCAGTTGCAAACAAGTACGTTATGCCCACCATTTAATTTAAAAATTCAGAAACAAAGTTTACAAACTAAGCCCTTGTTTGAACTCCATTATTTCAAATTATAACGAAATAAATAGTAATTTTTTAAAGAATATATGGTTAAAAATAAAGGAAAATTTTATAGATTTAAGTATAATATTACCCTTCTCCGAGCCCCATTTTTCGGAAAAGAATTTATTTTTAAACAATGTTTTAACATTATTTCAACAATACATTCTTCAATAAAATAATATTATACGTAAATCCAAATTTTTTCCTCATTTTTACCTACGCATTTCGCATCAATACACTATTTAAAAATGTATTTTTATAACAAAAATGGGGCTCAAACAAGGACAATATTTTATTGGAGAATGTGTAATTGATGAGAAGAGGCAAACAAGGACTAAGAAAACAAGAAATAAAATAATGAAGTAAAGAAAGATTGAAGATTTATCCTTTGTATGGAAAGAATTTATAAACATATAATTGATCAGTAAATAGAAATGGGTGGTGAATAAAAAATTAAAGTGTATATTACCTGTGATTCATTAAAATATTTAGTTGAAAATATAGTTTGATCTTGTATAAAATATCTATAAGTTAGGCAAACTGAGGCCAGTGATTTAGACCCTGTTTGGTAGGAATTTTTTGCCTCAAAAAATTAATTTTTTTACCGTTATTTTACTATTCAAGCCGTAATTTTTGATTTCTTCTCTCACATGTGGACCCCACTTTTCTTCTAACGATCAAAAAATCAATTCTCAAAATTTCTATCAAACGGGCCTTAATTACATCTAGTACTATAACTTAAAAGTTGCAAAATCTGGAAAAAATAAAAAATAAAAAAATGTGTGTGTGTGAATATTTTAATTCAAATAAAATTGTTAAAACTTAAAAGAAAAATAAAATAATTAACCTGTATGGACAGTGGTGGTGTCGTCGGGTGTTGACGTAGATTGAATTTGGAGTTGTACCAATTTGGCGGCACTGAGTTTTAAATTTTAAATTGTCTTCCAGAAAGTCCCTCCTCCAGCGGCCCTCAAGTAAGATTACTGTTGTTGGGAGTGATTGAATGAATCACATTTAAAAATTAAAAAATTAAAAGTGAAAATTTTCCCAATCAAGTTTCAATTCAGGTATTTCGAGAACCAGAACAATCCATTAATTTGAACCTTGCTGCACTTAAAGAATTTGGTTAACGGAATTTATACATGCGACATTTGACAATTTTTGGTTGAAAGATGACAGAAAAAAATGAACAACACAGATGCTGCATGTAAAAAATCTATAAAGAAAACCCATGTACACTTGAATTACTCTTATTAATTTTTGGATAATTTGTAAAATGGAATCATTCGATTCATTAAATTTTTAATCGAATCAAAATCGGACCCGATCTTAATTAAAATGTCCACCCCTAATAATTGTCGTTAATATATATTAAGGCCCCGTTTGTATCCCATTTTTGTAAAAATGAGAATGAAAAATATAGCCGTTACGGACCCCACACAAGATATAGAAATTCAAATTTGGTGGCTTATTGTGATGGATAACGGTCATATTTTTCATTTTAATGAGAAAATAATGGAAAACAAACGGGGGCTAAACTCTACAACAATGAATTAGATAAAAAAAAAAAAGTTAAAATTAAAATATTTTCTATTTATCTACAAAGCTGTGTCATCATGTACGAAGCATGTGCTAATATTTTTTATTAATAAACTTGTTTTACGCATCTCTAGGGTTGGTGAAAACAAATTCAAACCCGTTCAGACCGACCAACCCAACCCAATTGATTTGGGTTGGTTTTTAAGTTCAATTAGGTTGGATTGGACTGAAAAATCAAATTGTGAAAATTACACCCATATGGCATTCATTTGTAATTTTGAATGGAATTAGTTTTTATATCGAGGTTCCGATTTAAAGTTAATGGACTATTGAAGTTTGATTTGAAGTTTGAGAATTTTTTTTACTTTTTTTTTATTTTTTACACAAAGTGTAAAGTTTGGGATCATTCAAGTTTTTTGCTATGATAATTTACATAGTTAATATTTTTTTTTCTTAAGGGAAAAAATCGTATTTACCTATCCATTTAATAATATTTTATGATATACTACAATAAATATTCATATATCATATATATTATATTTACATAATATATCACCAAAAATACTGCTTTCTAAAATATCTCAATTAGACATTTTGTAACTGAAAATTTAATATAAATTAAAAATTCGCACATAATTCGCCTTGCATTAATTATCACTGCTAAAAAGGTGTCTGTGATTCTGTGAATAGAAAATTACATGGGTAATCAGTTGCTACAACATAGTGCAAGCATGATCAATAGCAAGTTTTCATCCGCACTGAATAGATTCCCAGAAATATTGATTGTGATCATCTAGTATTATGGATTCCTGGTTTTTAAAGGTATCCAGAATTTTCACAAATCTATGCAATTTTTCAAACTGTGATGTAGTAAA